TAGGTTTAGCAGAGTTATATTCCCATAATTTTGACAATTAAATAAAGCTTTAGCTTCACTTAATGCAAGAAATTTAATTCTTTGATATCTAATGTATGCCCTTTTCGAATTAATCCCATGATAACATTTTTTTAAACATAGCGTAGCATATAATTAGTTAAGTTAAATGTCATTTGGATCCAAGAGAGAATCAGTAACATTAGGGTTGTCCTTTCTTATAGGCTAATCCGCCGAATAGATTACAGATACACGTCACTAATCAAAATATCTACATCAACGCTACATCAAGGATACGACTACACGAAGACACAGAAAAATTCAGCTTAGGTCAAGGAGTTAGACAAGGAGACAATATTTCACCAAAATTGTTAACGGCAGCTCTAGAGCCAATATTTAAGAGCACTCAATGGCAAGATCTCAATGGCATCAATATAGATGGAGAAAGATTAAATCACGTAAGATTTGCAGATGATATTGTATTAATCGCAGATAATTTACAAGTTTCTATGATGCATTCACTTAAAAGTCTGTCTGAAAGAGCAGGATTAAAGATAAACTTTGAGAAAATTAAACTTGTAAGAAATATTTCTAATAGAAATATTTACTACATTTATGCAAGCAAAACGTAAAACAAGCAATGAAATTCAATTCTGATTCTAAGAAATGTATCAGGGAAAGAAAAAGAAGAAAAACTGTTTTATTAGACTGTTTTGCTAACAAAAATAAGGGAAAAAATAAAATAACACAATATTTTTAACAATATTTCCTATAAAGTTCATTTTTTTTTCAATTATGGCTCCAAATTCTGCTTATACTTCTGTAACTTCTGGTAGTAAAAATATATTATCATCTCTATTTTATATGTACCCCTTTATGACTTGTTTAGTACTCTTTATAAACCGGTTTTATGATACTCGAAATATCTGAGCTCTAATTTGCGTTGGTGTTGATAAAATTTCCATGATCTATTATTTTCCAAGCATTTTATGATTATACTGTACATAATAACCCCTACTGTCTTGTTTTGTTAATTAACTTCCCAAAGGGCCGATGCAAACCTGTTATCGAAAATACCTTCATCATTCATCGAACTGCCACTTTGATGTCAACGCTTTGTCCACTCAAAATTCCATTCATATTAGATTACATCACTTGTTCTCGCTGTCTGCCTCTCTTCCTGCCCTCGATCTTGTTTTAATAGGTCACGTGAAGCGACTTTATAAGATAATGGATGTGGATATTTATTAAACACCAGTAACTATTATATAGAAAGTTTTAATCCTCGTATTTGATGCTTCTATCCCAGAGATAATTTTAATAAACTTGTCTAGGATACCAGATACTGAAAAGTTCAACATTAACACTATAAAAGTGAATAAACAGATGAAATGAGTTAGCACAATGTTAAATATGCTAAAAACTTTAGATGAAATTATTCGAGAAGAACAATGTCATATTGTAACCGGTGATTAAGGAGCGGCAATCGTAACAACTTATTTTTCCTAAATAAGGATGAATTAAAGTAAAGAAGGTAAGAATAATATGGAACGAAGAAAAGGTAAAGGGTAATATTGTCACTATATATCTCATTGTCATGGTTTGATTAATGGACATATATGAATGAAAATACAGTTATTTTATGTGGAAAGCAAAACCAGTAACAATAGTTTTTTTTTTAATCTAAATCACACATTTAATTTTTCACAGGTTTCAATTCTAGAGAGGCAGAAACATGAACAGAATCGGTTATTTTTAGAAATGACACATATACAAACAAATAGGGTCATACGTCGCCATGTTACCAATTCCAACGGCAACTTAAACATCCTAATTTGTAATGATAAATAATGTAAAACAACTAGAAATTTGTAACATTTAAAGGGTTTTGACCCATAAATTTTGGTGGCTCATAGCATGTACACTCTGTTAACACTGATGATGAAATAAACATTCCGAAAACGTTCTGTAATGTAATTGTGATAGCCCGTTTGGGCATTTTATTATATACCTTTTAGAAAGGATTTGAAATAAAAATTTTTATTATTATTTTACTTTTACAAATTACTAGTTTGTCATACGAAATTACTATTTTAGTTGGGACTAAGCCACAAGAGCCCAGATGGAGTCACCAAAAGTGAAAGTGATTTTGTCTTAACTAACAACAAAGATACAATTCATGATGTAACAGTTCTTTATAGCTGTTCAGTGGAAAGTGATTATAGAATGGAAGAGCAAATATCGTGCTAAATCTCCAAAAACAAAGATACAAAATGATAACAAAAACACACCCAATAGAAGGGAATCCACTTAAAAACACCATGTCCTTCGAAGAGGAAATTCTGAGATGTCTAGAAACAACAACTATAGACGTTATGGATGTCCAGATCTAGAATGATAACTCAATAAAAGCTATTAACAACGAAGAGTAAAAGTGCAATACAAATCTTAGGAGAGATAAGAAGTAAAAAATCAGTCAAGAGACAAAAAGACTTATGGAGACACGAAGAAAACTTGAGAACAAAAACGATACGAATGCACGCATACTACAACAACTTAATAAAGATATTGATATATATTGATATTAATAAAGTTGATAACAACTGGTCCTCGAAGACACTTCGTCTCAGGACCATATAACCTATGTAGGGTCATACGTCGCCATGTTACCAATTCCAACGGTAACTTAAACATCCTAATTTGTAATCATAAATAATGTAAAATAACTAGAAATTTGTAACATTTAAATGGTTTTGACCCATATATTTTGGTGGCTCATAGCATGTACACTCTGTTAACACTGATGATGGAATTAACATTCCGAAAACGTTCGGTAATATAATTGTGATAGCCCGCTTGGGCATTTTATTATATACCTTTTATAAAGGATTTGAAATAAAAATTTTTGTGATATATGGTATACAGCCAGACAGGAACTTAGTTTCCTAGTGGATTTTAAAATAATAATATTCTTCCGACTGATGCGTGTTATTCATTGGGTAAAGATTGTTTTTGTCGGTATATTATACATGAGCTGCTAATTACCATAAGCTTTTCTCAGAAAGGTTTTCACACAATAATGTAATGCAACACCGTACTCTATTTTCAAGGTATGCGTAAGCATTAACCCCTCTTTTTAAATAAAATGGTCTAGTAGATTTAAAAGAGTTTTTATTTATTTATTAATTAACTCTTTGTTTGGCTACAAATATTTATTACTTATAAATAAATATTTTTTCTACAAAGGTTTTCTTGCATTTCATTATTTTGTGTAAATCCTTCAGATAGATCGCATCCTCGAGGTAGACCTCATGCTTTAGTAACACCTTTTTTTAATCTAGACAATTTAAATTTAACTTAATAAAAAATCAAAAAAGAATATTAGAAATACATATTAATGTATATATATGAATTCCTAGGTAAATAATTTCCTAGGTAAATATGAATTCCTACTTTACACCACATAATTACGAAGAGTTGGTACGAAGTGTTAATACGAACTAGGTGATCCTTAAACTTTTGGGGTGGTATCTTAGTTAATTATATAGTAGTCCCTTTCTTTTTTGAGGAAATAGTATACGAAGAGGTTTATTTAGCATTTATCTATTTTACTTAAAAGCCAAAAATTCCAAAATTCCAAAAATATAATAGGCAGAAAAGGCTTTTGCTCTTATTGGCCAGCTAGAAATACTAGAATTAAATACAATTTATTTCTTCTTATGGGGCTATAATATGTAGTATACCATGAACGTGCAACAACCATTTATAGCATGAAGATCAAAATTAGAAACGCATTTCATAATGTCACGCCACAAATGCTTATAAATGTAAGTGGGTAATTTTAAAATCGTCTTTGTGCCTATGTTGACGTTATGAGAGCTCATTTTTAACGAATGTCATGGCTGCGCAATCTCAGCGAGTGGTTTAATTGCTTGTCTAACCAGCTTGTTAGAGATACAGATTTCAAATATTTATTATAATCGCCAACCTTTGAAAGAAGACGGTACCTTAAAAAGAAGAAGGTGTCTCCTAAAATTAAAGATATAGCGGACTTTGTCACAAAAGTTGATCACCCTGTACATCAAACATTGATATCTCCACATTATTATAAATTTTTTGAGCTTTTTTGCTTGTACAGTATAATACACATTTTATGTTTGAACGCATTTCATTTGAAATCAGTACATTAGCTGTCAATATGCTATTTCAGTGAAAACAGGTCCTGTCAGCTCAATGTTGTTAAAATATGCATTTAATTAAAACGGTCTGTTTCAAATTTGATTATTAATTGAATAAAATCCAAAAATTTTGTTTAATCACAAAACACTTTCTATGTAATTAACATATTTGTTGAAATAGGTTCGCAAAACTGGATAGAATTCATCGAATTTGGATTGATAAAGTGTACTTCACAAATAACGCTGTACGCCATTATTTGACTCTTTTATAGAGTATTTAAAACTATTATATGCCTATAATTTTGTTTACTGTATACGTTTCAGTAACAAATGGCCGTATTTTTCAAACGACTAACACTAAAACAGGACGGTTAGGAGCTTGCATATTTTATTAGGTCTGGAAAAGTTAGTGGCCATTGAATGATGTAGATTTAGGTACTTGTCGGCAAATAAAGCTACGGAGGTTTATGTGTTATGTATACGAGGTCTGGCTATTAAATAACGAGACTGCTTATGAAAAAGAGTTTTATTTTAAAAATTATTCTACAATCGAATGCTCTTCTTCAAGATATTCTCCTTCTCTCGCCACACACCGTTCCATTCGTTTTTTCCACTGGTCAAAGCAATGCTGGAAGTCTTTCGCTTGACCTCTTCCATCGGCTTGAACCGGATTCCTTTTAAGGCAGACTTGATCTTCGGAAACAGGAAAAACAGTTGTTTTTCTAAACTCCGGCCGTTTCTTAAGAACTCGCTCTCGCAGCGTTGCCAAAACTTTTAAATAGTAAATTTGGTTTAGAGTTTTACCCTCTGTAACTCGTTTAGTCATCACTATGCCGTTAATATAAAAAAAATACAATTAGCATGGCTTTAAATTTTGATTTCGACATCCTTGCTTTTTTCATTCTTGGCGATGCAGGAGTTTTCTAGTGCATGGATTGTCACTTAGTTTCAACATCGTCTTTGAATATGTAGGTTTTATCGCAAGTGATGATGTTTTCCATTAACTCTTTATGTAACCTCTCAAGAAAATCTGAGCAAATCTGTTGACGGACGAGCTTTTGGTCAGGAGTCGAATTTATTGGGACCGACTTGGCACAAACTTTCTTCATGTCCAATTCGTCATGTAAAATTTTTCTGACAGTTTCTTTATCGACGTTTACAGTCTGAGCAATCATCAGATGCTTATACGACTATCCCCGCGCACAATTTTATTTAGTTTGGTCACTGTTTGCGGAGTTGAAATAGAAGCAGGTCGACCTCGACGTTGGTCAAAGGCATCTCAACAAATTATAGCACTCTATTCGCTTTTTAGTTTAAGGTTTAGTTCGAAGTTTTTTAAATTTAACGACAAATTTCACAATAATCCGTTGCTCATGTTTTTCATCTGTTATCGACACGAGAAAAAAACACGTTCTTCTCTAACCTACAGAAAAAATACTACTACAGTGACAAAAACATGTTTTCGTACTGGAAGAGTAGATATCGTCTGCTTACAGGTAAAACATGATAAATGCAGTTTTATACAAAATTCAGTTAGAAATGTAGTTATGTGTAATTTTTAAAGTAGTATCTACTGGTAAAGCCGAATAAGTGATACAATATACCGTTACAAAAATAATGCTGTTTGTAAAAGTTGTAAGTACATATATTTCAAAATAATATACCAGTTAAAAATAATAAATTTACTTATTGCAGAATGTAGAAAATTGTGTACAGACAAAAAATTATAAATATGACTATAACTTTTTACTTTTAGCACTAAAAGCAAAATATTGGGAAGTACTTTCAGAAAAAACATTATATAGGCATTTATTAATTTGAGCTTTGATATTATAAACAGGAATAACGTAGTAAATACACTTAATATATTTTTCTTTGTTTATATTCTACTCGACTTCAAAATTTTTGTTCAACGAAAACAAAATAAATGCATTTATTCGGTTTTGCTGGTAGGAATTTGCAGCAGTTGACGTAATTATTTGGCTTTGTCAATGAAAGCACGCCCGATAACCGTTAATAAAAGTGGTTTTACTGTGTATAATAAGTCTCTGAACTGTTTTGTTTTGTGTTAAACATGTTTTCAAGGGGAAGAAGATTAGTTGATATGGTAAACACGTCCAAATTATCCCAAGGTACGTAATTTATAATTACTATTGTTGTTGTTAGTATTGCTTTTTTGAGGTTATGTGTTACTTAATTTTTAACAACTAACTGTTATTATAGAGTAATTAATGTAGATCGAAAACTTGAATTGTTTAGTAAAAAATCAATCAAGTTTATATTTTTCTAAAACCTTTTTTGTTAGTTTATAAATATGTAAAGTTAAAAAGTTATACCTAATTTGGCCGCTAATTGTTTATTAATTGTTTCAACAATAAAAGCTGTTTTGTATAAACATTTTTAAAAATATCGGGGAATTCATCATTTTACATTGATTAAAAATGTTTCTATTTTGTTGTTGATTATGCTGAATCCGAATTCTACTTTACACTTGGAAAATTATTTTTTTAAGTCCTTATATAATATTCTGCGTAACTTGTTTATTATCAATTTTACGAAAAAAAGTTAGTCTTCATAAAATGCTCTGCATGGTCTAAAATCTAGGATGAAAATATCAGATATACAATTTTATCCATTTTATACGAGGTATGTCAAAAAATATGAATTTCGCACGAGAGTAAAGTAATTTTTATTATGAAACGTTATTTAGAATTTAAAACTATGTTTTAATATGCAACTACATCCTTGTAATTGGAAAACAAAATTTGCAATTTTTTTTAAATTACGGATACCCGACATCATTTTATTACTATGTGATAATTATAGGAAGTTTGTTCATGTTCACAAAATAAGTGGGCTAAATACAATAAATATCGGATTCAGAAGCAAAACAAAAATACTATTACTGATGTTAGGTACTTGTAGAAGGGGAGTTTTGTTTAACTTGATTTTCTTTTTCAGAAGCTTTGGATGATAATCCTTGTTGTTCTAAGGACCTAACGGAATTAGAGCGGATGTTTGACAGCGATGACTCTGATAAAGATCCCACCTACTATCCTCTCTCGGAGTCTCTAACCCAACCTAAAAATTTATTTGGAGAGCAATGGGACAGCAATAAAAAATATGGAGATGATGAAAATTGTATGCAGGTTTATGAAGAAGGCGAGAATAATATTTGCAGAGTGGATCAGTCGGAATATGATATGGCGGAGGAGGAGCCAGAAATCAATGCCAGTGAAATTGTTTTTTCTATTTTGGAGCTGCTATTACACAGGGTGACGAAATCAGCTCGTGTAAAAAATCGTTGGAAGAAAGCAGAACCAGAAAATTGGAAAGTTAACGTGGCGAAAAAAAGACGAGCGGAGGGTTTATCTTATACCCCCAGAAAACAAAAAAGAAGTGCAAAAATACCAAAAGAGATCAATTGCAATAGTTGTTTCTATAAGTGTAGTATTATTTCCTATAATGAAAGAGAGGCTTTATGTCGTCATTACTGGCACCTAAGTTTTGTGGAACAAAAGAATTTTATTCTTAGTAATATTGTAGTAGACACTCCAAAGAGAGTTCTTGCTGTCCGTGGATCTAAAAGGCAACGCGAGTTTACAAAAAAATGTTTCTTTTTCCATAATGGCGAGAAGAAACAGGTTTGCCAAAAGTTTTTTTGTAATACATTGGCTATTTCATCTAGTGTTGTAAATAATGCTATTCAAAAACGAAATGATTTGGGGCTATACAAGAATAATGACAAAAGAGGCAAACATCTACCTCCTAACAAGACAAGTGAAGCTGCTTTGAACTTTGTAAAAAAGCACATTGAATCTTTTCCTTACATGGAACCACACTACATCAGAAAAACCTCTAAGCGTCTCTATTTAGATGCTTCGTTAAGTATTATGAAAATGTATCGGCTTTACAAAGAAAAATGCAACGAGACCAACATTATTCCAGTTTCGGAAATAACCTATCGGAGAATCTTTTGTAATAATTATAATTTCAGCTTTTTCGTCCCAAAGAAAGATCAATGTTCAATTTGTTCCAATTACAACAAAAGCGACAATGACGAAAGGATAGTATTAAAACAAGACTATGAGGAACATTTAGCCAGAAAGGAGAGAGCCTACTTAGAAAAAACAAAAGACAAAGAAAGAGCCACAAAAGAAGCTCAGTTCCGCTGTGTTACATTTGACCTACAAGCAGTACTGCAAATCCCATCTGGATTGGTGGGGCAGCTGTATTATTGTAGAAAAGTTTGTGTTTATAACTTGTGTATTTATGAAGTAGCTCTGCCAAACGACGCCTACTGTTTTACGTGGTCTGAATTAAATGGAAAAAGGGGGAGTTCAGAAATAGGAAGTGTTCTATTTCATTATCTTACTAAGTGCGTTCCTCCTCAAGTAACTGAGGTCTGCCTGTATTCAGACACCTGTGGTGGGCAGAACAGAAATCAATATGTTGCTGCATTGCTTTTATTTGCTGTTGAAAATATACCCAATTTACAAAAAATTGAACACAAGTTCCTTGAGTCAGGACACAGCTACATGGAAGTAGACAGTATGCATAGTAGTATCGAGACGGCAAAGAAAAATTCCGAAGTGTATTGTATGCCAGACTACGTATCAATTTTTAAAAGAGCAAGATCAAACAAGACATTCACTGCTAATGGAAAATCTTTTACCAGGAAACCATACATGGTAAAAGAATTCAAATTTGATGAATTTTACGATCTAAAGCATCTTGCCGACAAAACAATTTATAATAAGTCAAAAGACTGCAATGGAAATCAAGTTAAGTGGTTAAAAATTAAAAAGATGCTTTATCTTAAAGGCGATAGTACCAAAATTTATTTTAATTATGACTTGTCCGACACGTTTTTATTTATCGATGTCTCTCAAAACACGGACCATGTATCACGATTAACAACAAGGTCTAAAAAGCGAGTGCGACAAAGTGCACTTCCGGCAAGTTACACACCTACCTTAAAGCAACTTTATAACTACCCGTTACCCATTAGTGAAGCAAAAAAGAAAGATCTGCTTAGCTTGTGCCAAAAAAAGATTATACCCGAAGAATACCACGGCTGGTATTCTTCCCTACGAACGGATATGGAACCAGATCGTTTACCACAGCCTTCAATTGATGAGGAATCTGGGACAGAAGATGATTAATAATGTTTGGTGAAAACTTTACATAATTTTTTGTTTTTTCCATAATTACTTTCAATATATACTGATTTAAATACATTATGTCTTTAGTTATTATAAAAAAGTTAACTTTTATTTTATGTTAAACAATTTTAACATTAATTATAAAAATAATGAGCTTAAAGTAGGTAGGTATTGTTTGGAATGGGTGATACCTTTGAAGAAAATCTACAAGTAAAACCAGATATATGAAACAAAATTGCCCATTATTAATTCTTGTTTCTGAAAATATTACTTTTCATAAAAAACAGTATTAATTAATCTACTGCTATGTTATAAAAGTTTAATTAAAATTCTTTTGTAGTTTATTTTAAAGATAAATGATTTTTACTAACTACAGGTAAAAACAGTTAAATGCACACTTCTCTAATTTAGTTTTATTATATTTTTGTTTAAACTTCCACATACCTAAAAAAGTCGATTTTATCTACAAAGATAGATGTTTGAAGTTTTATTTTAAACTGATTAAAAGTAAAATTAAAAGATATAAGTGGTTCAAATAAAGGTTGAAACTTTGAAATATCAATTACTCAAATCATTGTATATTACATTTATCTGTTTTTACCAGTAAGCCGACGATATACTCTATTCGCTTAGCTCGATCATATTTTGACAGATTCATTGTCGGAAACCTACAACACAACAATTCCTACTTCTCAGTATTAATAGCTCAAGTATACTACTATTGCAGACTTCTTCATTTGAAAAAAAAAGAAGAATTATTGTAAATACTGGAAGTTTATACTAAACACATACAAATTTTCCTGTTTATTTAATATATAATATTTGAGTTGTTACAATTTAACATATTGTAATGAATATTTGTATTATTCGCGTTGTTTATTTTAGCTAATATAGTTTTAGTGTTCTATTATTTTTATTTAATTCTTTGCTAGTTCTATTTTGAATTGTATTATTAGGAATAGTCAAAGTTTTCCATTTGTTCTATCAGATAACGCTTTGGTAAGTTTTTCGTAAATAAATATGACAAAAGTTCTTTAAAAGTTAATA